TCTAGGGTGACCGGATTCCTGGATCTGTACAGAGATGAGGTGCGTCAAAGGTGAATCAGGGACTGTGGCTGGGTGACAAAAGAATGAGGATGGATAGACTGCACAGTAACACCTGTTGTTTTTGATACAGCTGGTATGACAGACATAAGCATTGACCATTAGAAAAATGGCAATTGCTTAATCCGGGTAACCCACAAATGTTTACTGATGCAACTCATGCATACAGACACATGCCATCTGGCATTGCTGATCACACTTGTAAGGTCTGATTCAGCAAGTCTTGAATGCCTGTTTATAATGGGAATTGCAAAGACTTTAATGATTCCCAGTCTGGTTCCATTAATTATTTATTTAGCATATTTGACAAAGGCCTGTTTGGGGAAAAACAAATGCAATTAAAGTTTCAAACGATTAGATATTGTTCATAATAAATGTAAAACTAATTATTTAACTAATTATTTTATTATTTCAGTAAGTAACTTTGCAACTACATGTCAACTAGCAGTTAGTAGAGTATTAGTAGACTGTCTGCTTAATATCTTCTAGCACTTTCTTTGTCAACATTCTACTAAACCTACCCTAACAGTCTTCTCTGAGAGTTAGTAGACATGTAGTTGAAAATTAATGATAATTAGTCGACATGTAGTTACAAAGTTACTTATAGTTAGTAGAATGTCTAACGTGGACTATCGAAATAAAGTGTAACCATTTATTTTTATAAAATACTACTGACAAAACTACGGATTTAAGTCTCCCAAGCCTTAAGCATAAAAATGCAGTAAGTAAACTGTATTTGTTTAATTTTATTACAAGAACTATTTTTTTTTTGTTTTTTTCTCCGGAAATAGGACTACACTTGTTACACATGTAAGGTTTTGATTCACTAAATCAAAGCGTCTTATAAGAGTAATTTATGCGAGAATCAGACTAGACTAGTTGCCCATAATTTTGATTCTCTATTGATTTGATACATCATTTGTTTGGGATTCGAATTATATTAGTTGCAGTCTATGGTTTTAATTCACTAAAACAAAGCGTCTCAGTTTAGGAATCAGACGACATTCGTTGTACTGTCTATGGTTTTGATTCATTAAAACAAAGAGTAATAGGAGTCATTTGTTCAGAAATCAGACTACACTGATTGCGCTATGTAAGTTTTGCGCTATAAATTAATTAACAGTATTGATGCAACACTGAATAGTAGTGCAGGAAACACTGTCACAGTATTTTAATACTATATTCCATTCACATCAGCAGAATAATTTAAGTCTGAGAACCGTTATCGGAATGGGTTCTGATAACGTTTCGCGCTCAAACATTTTTTTTTTTGTTTTACAAAATGGAAAAATAATTTTTTTAAAGCTAGATAGAATAGTCTACCAAAAGGGGTTTAACTGGCTGAATCTTGACCCATTGGTCACGATGACACAGAGCAGCATATCGGAGCAAACAATAAGTGTTGTAGAGAAGTGACTGGAAGAAAGACAGACAAAGAAGTTTAACAACAAGTGGCTCAGAGCAAGGCACTAACCGTCCATGAAGGACAATAAGAGAGGGGAAAGGTAAACAAACAGTACAAGTGAGCAGATAGCACACCGAGCAAAGGGTTGCATCTCTTGGGGCCCAGGCTGCGAGGATCTGATTTCATCCATTCTTTCTTCTCGGTCTGGGAGGAAGCCACCATTCTCACTGGATCACAGATGCACCTGGAGTCCCCCGCAGGAAACTCCCAGTAACTTCCCTTAATTCAAAGTTAACCCTCCAAACAACCAGTTATATGTCCCCCATGAGCAATTTTAAAAGAAATGTGGCAGTAGAACACAAAAAGTCTGAATCCTGAGATTTTCGCACAGCGAGCTTGTGTATGGGACGGTCCCAGAATTGACACAATAACTCATGATGATGTAAAGAAGACAGTAAACATAGTGTACTGGTATGTGTTATTCAATTCAAGACATCTGAATTCACATTGCTTCATCTGGCACTCTTTTTAGAGATGAATGAAAGGGTTTATTGTCTCTGGCTTGGCGTTATCTTACACATTTGACTACAGAGCTGCTTTATTGATGGACAGATGTTCAGTCCAACTGATTTGCATATGGACAGTCTGATAAATGTTTATGGCTTGGGCACACATGTACACTCTTTCTGTATGTTGTGCTGTGACTTGTGAATGGACAACTACTTTCAATGTATGTTGTGACCAAACAAGTGGCAGTTTACTACACTACTCTTTCTAATGCTGCTGTATATAGTATGTATAGTGAGAACAATATGCCATTTTTTTGCATAAAATATAACTGCGGTTTTCAACAGAGCTCACTTTATGGGAAACTTGTCATAAAATGCATTGCGCTCTGTCCCATCACTGATGGAACAACAGTCTATGCATAAGATAAAGCTTTCTGAAAACAAAACACAGTGCTTCCAAAGAATGAGGCCATGATTACACTGCAGTCACATCGCCCTGACCCAACAGGGAAAAAACAATGCATTTTCAACCTCCTTCAGTTTCTGATGGGTCTGAATATTCCAGACACCAAAAAAAATGTACTCCGAAGATGACAACATCACACTTTATGGACTCGAGCAAACAATAAGTGTTGTAGAGAAGTGACTGGAAGAAAGACAGACAAAGAAGTTTAACAACAAGTGGCTCAGAGCAAGGCACTAACCGTCCATGAAGGACAATAAGAGAGGGGAAAGGTAAACAAACAGTACAAGTGAGCAGATAGCACACCGAGCAAAGGGTTGCATCTCTTGGGGCCCAGGCTGCGAGGATCTGATTTCATCCATTCTTTCTTCTCGGTCTGGGAGGAAGCCACCATTCTCACTGGATCACAGATGCACCTGGAGTCCCCCGCAGGAAACTCCCAGTAACTTCCCTTAATTCAAAGTTAACCCTCCAAACAACCAGTTATATGTCCCCCATGAGCAATTTTAAAAGAAATGTGGCAGTAGAACACAAAAAGTCTGAATCCTGAGATTTTCGCACAGCGAGCTTGTGTATGGGACGGTCCCAGAATTGACACAATAACTCATGATGATGTAAAGAAGACAGTAAACATAGTGTACTGGTATGTGTTATTCAATTCAAGACATCTGAATTCACATTGCTTCATCTGGCACTCTTTTTAGAGATGAATGAAAGGGTTTATTGTCTCTGGCTTGGCGTTATCTTACACATTTGACTACAGAGCTGCTTTATTGATGGACAGATGTTCAGTCCAACTGATTTGCATATGGACAGTCTGATAAATGTTTATGGCTTGGGCACACATGTACACTCTTTCTGTATGTTGTGCTGTGACTTGTGAATGGACAACTACTTTCAATGTATGTTGTGACCAAACAAGTGGCAGTTTACTACACTACTCTTTCTAATGCTGCTGTATATAGTATGTATAGTGAGAACAATATGCCATTTTTTTGCATAAAATATAACTGCGGTTTTCAACAGAGCTCACTTTATGGGAAACTTGTCATAAAATGCATTGCGCTCTGTCCCATCACTGATGGAACAACAGTCTATGCATAAGATAAAGCTTTCTGAAAACAAAACACAGTGCTTCCAAAGAATGAGGCCATGATTACACTGCAGTCACATCGCCCTGACCCAACAGGGAAAAAACAATGCATTTTCAACCTCCTTCAGTTTCTGATGGGTCTGAATATTCCAGACACCAAAAAAAATGTACTCCGAAGATGACAACATCACACTTTATGGACTCCCCCCCCACCCCCGGATTTTATGGACCTTACAGACTACCAAAGAGTGCATGGATGGATTTTTAACCACAAGACGACTCTTTATAAAAATAACAAACCAAATTTTGTTGGCACAGCACTTGTTGACACTTCAGAAACCATGGTCCTTATAAGAGGAAGCCCTGTTGTGGTTAGTACAAAATGAAATACGGCCCAATTTACGAACTTGGATTTACGAACGGACAATATGATGAGTTATTCACAAGCCACTTTTGATGAAGCACTTTTTATGAAATGTATAGAATATGGTGGAGATGGGAAAGTTGGAATAAAAAAAACTTTCTATATCTTTTTCAATTGTATGGCTGGTCATTTAAATTAAAAATAATAGTTAAAATATGTATATGATGTATGTAAGATTTTTTTCTTTTTAAAGAAATTCTCACAAGCCTACATTTATTTGAACCGTTTTAAATATTAATTCTTTTAAAATGTATTTTTTTCCAGCTGAAATTTTGGGCTAAATCCTTTGATCAATTTATGCATTCTTGCAAATAAAGTAATAATTTATTTGAAAAATAATAATATTATAATGATTATAATAATATTAAATCAATTGAATTAATTGCATAAAATGCATTAAATTGAATGAATTAATTGCATATATCAATATTTGCTGAGAAAAGCCCCCAAATAAAGACACTTTGTTGTGGCAGATAAAGCACTGAACACTTTTAAAGCTTAGAAGCTAGTATATTGTAATAAATACAATATATAATGAATCACAGTACAGTAGCATGTTCAATTTTATTTATTTTGTAATTATAATTTTGTAATTATTTTGGATAAATATTGAGTTTCATATTGCATGTGGCAATCAGTTGCTATGGAGCAGGCAGTTAAATCAGTGACACTGTGAGACACACTAAGGCCTCATAAAGTTTGTGGCATGTATATGAGAGGCATAGAACTTAAGTTTCAAAGGGATGATTTTGATTCTCACAAGCACCTCTGAACTCCCCCTCTTGGAATAATGAATGGGAATGGAATGGCAGAGGGCTGGCGGCAGACAGCATGGGAATCTGGCTCTGAGGTAAGCACTTTCAAAGGCTTCTTAATGCACCAAAAGACACAGTGATGCACCTCAAAGATCTCTCTGCTTTTTTCTCACGCACACACAAAGATATGCATGCCAGCACATGCCATACTACACTTAAAATGCACAGAACAACTCATTAAAAACACTTTAAGGGTTAAAAACTCAATGAGTCACTAAATATGAGACAACTGACCGGCTGCCTATGCGATGTCTACAGGATGCCAGAGAACAGAGGCCAGTCTCAGCAGCTGGGCTTGAAAATAGAAAAGAAAGAGGAAATGAGTAAAGGACACAGTTCTGTTCTTCCTGTCAACTTTTCTAAACTACTCGCTGCAGTTTTTGCCCTGTTGTCTGTCTTGTCAAGACTTTCCTAAGACAGAAAGTATTGCTTAAATCACAAATCTCTGCCAAAGGAGTTTAGTCATCATCAGCGGATCAGATATATCAAGAGGACCCACCCATTGATAGATAAACTATTTCCACTCACCTGTTTCCAATCACTCAAGGTGTGTCTTTATGAATCACATCACTCACTGATATGTGTAACCCATTTCCTGTTTTATGTTTAACTTAAGGTTACTTTCTATAAACACACACCACATATTATGAAATAAATCAATAAAAAATGAAAACCATAAGTATTATCATTCTCAGTGGGCTTCTATATTATTACCTCAGTGAACAGTGCTGTAAAAATGTGCTGTCTGAAGTCATTTGCAACGGGAACCTTACGAGGAGTTACTCAAAGTATTCACTACGCCTTGGAATGCAACATGTTCTGGGATGAGGTGTGTTCAAAGATGAGCAATCAAGTTCCGACCTGGATCAGCTTTGACTAAACTCAGGAATATGTCAGACCCCCACGGCATGCATGCCTTCGTTCTGTGTTTCTAATGGTTATCTGCATGTGTGCATTTAACGCCAATGAAGACTTGAAGGTCTGACTGTCAGAAAACTTACACAAATAACTGTCATGTCGTGACACGTGTGTCAGATTCCTCTGAGAATTGCAAGTGTGTGAAGTACAAAAAGTTCACCATGTCATGAAACTCTGACTTGAGGGAGAGTTGAAGATGATGATAATAAATTAGGCTTTTTCTCACTTAGGAATGAATGGCCTAGAATTAATTATATTTTACACTATAGTCCAAAATGAGAAAACTTTTAACAGGTGATGCTAGGATTTTCTTCCATGCACCTAAAATTCAATTGATCATTTTAAATATTGAAGTTAAATACATGTATATATTTTTGCTTTATTATTTTTCACTTTTTTAAACTTATCCACGGAAGCTATGTAAGTGTTAAGAGTTGGTCAAAATTTTGATTTTACAAGTAGGCTACAGAGGTATAAAACAGTGAACTTTCTAATACTTCTACAAGACATGCTACCATAACCTGGATGAATGAAAACTTTCACAGGCGAACAAGTCATCGATTTTTACTCTCTGGTTATGAATGAAAAATGTTTGAAAATCATTAGCTCTCTGTCATGTGAGTTTAAATTTAAATGACGGGGGGAAAAGAAGTTGAGCGCTTACCCGGTCAAAACTCTTTCTGTCTCTGTCCGTGTCGAGTGTGCTGGGGTCAGTTTAGCAGGCCTGTTTAATAGCTCTGTAGTCCTGTTGCTCCTCAGGGGTGTGCAGAAGTGCTCAGCTCTCCCTCAAAGCACCGAATGAGAGAATGCTCGCGCTTAACTCTTCCATGCGTTACTATAGAGGAAGTTGAGTGACTCACACAAGCTCCCGCCCCAATGGATGAACGGTCTTCCTTGTTTTCTGAAGGAAGTTTCAACGAATGATCTTTAAATTGAGACAGTTTGCATTGTTATTTGTCTGACTTGGCGTTTGCAGGTAGCTTAGAGCGCAAGAGATGTCTGTCTGTAATAAATGAAAGTAGCACAATACATACCTGTTACTTGACACCCACATCTGAGGAGAAATATTCGTGATGACAATGAACAACTCTTTTTCCACTCCGTTACCGCACTGCTCATGGGGGGATGGAGCATATTTTAGACTTGGTTAATTCAACAGAGCTGAAATTATTTAATTATTTAATTATGATTATTTTAATCTAAACCAGTCTAACCATTAGAATAGAGAAAGTATGTTTTTTTCTCTCTCGTTCAGTGGAGCACATGTCCTGTAGCTTCCTTACGAGATTCTGGGAGGTTTTTGTATTCACAGGGGTTTATTTTATTTTATTTAGTTTTTAAGTATATGGTCAAATTTAAACTGTTTTGGAAACTTTTATCAATGGAAAGTTTTTAATTGTCTTGAATATGTCATTATTTTTTGCTACTTTTCAAATTACTTTTATGTATAGATTTTATTTTTTTTAAATATGAAAACCTTTTTCAAAGTTCCAATAAGGTGCTATGGTATGGATGCGATGAACGTGAAAATATAAAAGAATGTGAAAAAGGTTTAAAATATCATTTAATATTTAATGCTTGCAACAAAAAAATTACCTTTTATTCCAAAATATTTAAAATACTGCTTGTTAGCAGAATGCTATTTAACACATTAATGTGTTTAATATTAAAATTCGTTGTGAGTAAAAGAGATGGGATGGAAATGACAGTGTGGTGGAAATGATGGCGAAAAAACTGTGTCATTCGTGATTTAAAACCGTTTTGTCTCACTCTTCAGTAATGGATGAACAACTTATTGCTACGTGATATTCACTAAAGTTTTCTATAGAAACACTTCAGGCACTTACATGTGTTATTGTATAACAAAGAGGTAACACTGATATTAGTTTTCGCTATGTGGTTATGTTTGTAATGTAATACTTAAGATACAGAGATACAGTATAAAGAGCTTCTTACAAGATTAAAGAGAGTGACTTTGTCCTTGTACTAATTGCGGACAGCCGCAGAAAACACTGAGCAATTGTTGTAAATGAAATGATGCCGTTTGTGTGCAGCTATATCATTAGAGATTATATAACTGAAACTAAATTATTAACTGTATCTTGAGTTTACTTGCTTGTATGATTTGCTAACAATAAATGGATTCAGTGATTGTCTCAGAACAGGTCGTGCATGACCTTACCAACGAGTTCATACATAATTCAAATTCATTAAACTACACCCCTAGCAAGAACAGCACCTCTTGTTTTTCTCTTTAACATGTTATGATGTACCATGTCTGATCCTCAGCGTCATGACTGTAATGCCATTGGGCTTTTATTACCACTCTTTAACCGTTTAAAAGAAAGGTTTATCAAATTACACCAAATTTAATCAAGTGTAAACTGTGAAATACCTCCACTGCTTACGATAATCATTCCACTTATCCCTGAAAAGAAAAAACAAACAAACAAACAGACAACTGTGTCCTTGTCTGTCATATCTTTAGATGTTTCTAATGTCTTTAGGACCTTAAAACCCTTTTTTACTGACATTTTGTTCTGCCAGCACACACTGGGTAATGTAAATAGTGGGGTGACTGTTAATTGTCCCATATCCACTCTTTACAGGGTTTTGTGGTCAAATTCTGAGAGTGAGAACCAAACATTCAAGAGAGGCCTTTTCCTGGAAGGATAGGGTTCAGACGGCGTTGTTAACATCCTTGGTAAAACCTAAAATTATAAGTTTTAAATCTATTAAATGGTTTCCTCTGATTTAAAAAATACTCCTCAAAAACCTTTCCCGCTGACACAGGAGTAAAACGTGAATAAGATTTACCACAATCCAGACTATCCACCATTTACAATTTGTATGAATGGAATCAAGCAAACTACACCTATTACTTGAATATGACCACTCAAAAATGAGATGAAAACTGATTTATGAACTACGATACAGTGTAATCCATACGGAAGCTCCTCTCGATTCAGATTAATCTCACTCTTTGTGTATAGAAACCCTACATTGATTGAGAAAGGCATTTCAAGGTCTTGAGCTCAGCTACTGGCCAGTAACATTATGTCATTTGTGTGATTTTAAAAGGCCTATATTAAAAACCAAACAGTAATATATCTGTCAAGCGAGGGCATTTCAGAAACTCCAAGCTATCATAAACATAACCCCTTTTTTTGCCCATTTGACATTCTGCCCTCTCTTAAACACAGGTTTGAATACTTGTTCCCTAAAGATCTTTTTTGTTGAGAAACATATATAATCCAATTAAAATTCAGCCAGGGAAATGCTTTAAATCTCCCGTTTTTGATTTACATGCTTTACTGTGGTTTATTTTCTGTAGCAAAAGTCCATCGGGTCTCTTGGTTTTATATGTCTAGCATAAAGAAGTTGAAAGCCCACAAACCTTGGGTCAATCAAGGCTATGACATCATATGGAAAAAGTGACCCCATGAAAGGGTTTCCTTCTCAGTAAAGAATCTGCATGTTTTGTGAATCTTTTGTGAAATATTTTATTTTTTTCAAACATTAAACAGGAAAAAGATGACAAACGTCATATGAGGAAATACATAGAATGAGTTTGTTCTTCTTCAGTTAAATTACAAATGAAAAGACTTTCTTTTTATTCCATTTGAGGTTCCTCATACTGAAACTTGAGTGTTTCATTTTGTTAGTTCCTCTGTACCTGTACAGTGCTTTGTGTGTTATATATAAAAAAACGGTGGGAAAAGACTCGCAGCACTGGAACATGATGTTCTGTATTTCTGAGTAAAGCACAGTGTTTTTTTTTTGTTTTTTTTGCCAGAGGAAAAGCTGGTTGTTATTTCAAATCTGCCCTTGCTTATGTCCCATGCCCTGCATGTTTTGACACACCAAATGGCCATTTCTGCCCCTCTTTCATTCTCAGAAGACGAGCCAACTAATGGATAAACTGGACCTTGAGAGCTATAAGAGGCACACAGGTGTCGTCATTAGACTTTAGCTCTGACATTTGTCATTCTAATGGCTTAAAGCTATCCTTCTGGTTAAGATACAAATTAGGTGTCTGGACTGGAGTAGGACACCCTTTAAAGACCCTGCTTGAGAAACACCAAGTATTATTTGTTAGTGTTAACCAATCTCTTTGGCAGATAGAGGTTGTCATTATCATGACCAAAGTTATTTAAAGTGTCAACACACTGGCCAGGATATATAAACTAAGTGTCTCAGCACCCAAGGTTTGTTATTGAGTTCTTCCCTGTCGTGAGCCTGGCTATCTTCCTCATACAAAACAGTAGACAACTCCTGTGATGGATATCACTGATTAGATGGCCATATAAAGCTAATGTTGTGGTGTACGCTCAGTGTCAAGGATACAGCTTGTTACAGGAGCTTTGTGACTTTCAGAGAGTGCCGTTTTTGAAACAAGAGTGAATGATTGCATTTGAAAACATAACATTTACTGGAGTCAAAAAACAATTTTGACAGAATGGAACTTTCAAATTTTAAAGGTAGGATATGAGAGTTTATGAATGCGTGATTGCAGTGGAGGACACTGCCATCTGCTGTCGACACTTCTTCAACATTTGTTTTACACTACTTTTAAAATTAAGACACACGTAAATATCTGTTTTTGTTCAGGCGCCGCTTTTACACGGTTAAATAATACTAAGGAATAGGCTACTGTAGAATTATACTTTTAGTAAGCAAAATATACAATTTATGAACATTTGTAGGCTATTTATTACTTTATCTTTTATATATTGTTCATATTCTATGTATTCTATACATTTTTATTTAATAGTTTTTTAAAGAAATGTCTAAGTAGTTATATAATACGTTTGATCAGGATGGAAAGATAAAATCTTCGGCGCGAATCTGCTGCTGAGAAATAACACGTTGCTACTGTGCTCCATCGTGTCCATGTGGGTTAAGAACCATACATGTGAGGTTGTGAGGTTGTGAGGTGTACATACAAAGCCCTGTTTAGGTTTTTTCTCCCTCAATCAATCGCAATTGGATTTGTTTTCAGATATTTACAGCCATGTCTTCTTTTCGAAAAGCCTTGAAATCTAAGCAACGAGACCACAAAGAGCGATCACAGGTAGGCTCAGTTTAAACATAAGTTAGGCCTACTAACTCGCGTGCTGCCTTGCTAAATAGCGTTTTCAGCAATTTGCTGAAACAATGTTTCAACAGTGTTTCAATTGCATTTATTCTGACAGATAATTTCATGTACGGAAGGAGTTGTAGTGGCAAAAGAATGGGCTAAACGGGGTTTTCTGAAACCCGACGGCCGCTTTAGCTTATGTATCACCAGCAGTGAATGAGGAGGTTTAGCTTTCCATATCTTATTTTGTTTATTAACCTGACTTTCTCCCATCTCAGCTCGGTTTCAGGAAACGTTTTGGACTGTTAGAGAAGAAGAAGGACTACAAACTTCGTGCAGAGTAAGAAATCACAATGTATCTTTTTATTATTATTGTTGTTGTATATATTATGTTTTTTGGTTAATGCATTTAGACGCTCTCTCATTAGAGATGTTATTGTCTTCTCTTTGAAATGTTTTGTGATGTTACACAAGCAGCAATTTGCCATTCTTTCAAATAAATCGTTATTAATTAAATTATTAAATCTCAAAGGGAAAAAATGTTAATGTTTTTTTTTTCTTCTTCAAAACAAGAATATAAAGTAAGTAGTAAATGTGAGGTATTTTAGTTAAGATAGTAGTAAATATGTACTTGGTACAATGTGAAAACAGCGAGCTTAGATATAATAACTTTAGATGTAAAAATAAACAAAAGCAAAAAATAAATACAATAAAAAACAAGGATATTACGTAGGACGTTGTACTTCATATTTGTTTGTAATTTGAATATAGTTGAAATAGTGCACTTTATGATTTCAGTACAGTTTACAAACCGCTGTGTCCAACCTGTTATTTGTAATGCAGTG